AATGTCTGTGTTCTTTTGCCCATCTTAATCCTTTTCTTTTAATGGCCAGTCTCAGATATGGCTTTTTCTTTGCCACTCTGCCCTGAAGCCCAGATCCTCGCAGCCTCCTCTTCACTGTAGATGTTGGCACTGATGTTTTGCGGGTACTATTTAATGAAGATGCCGGTTGGGGACCTGAGAGGCATCTGTTTCTCAAACTAGAGACTCTAATGTACTTATCTTCTTGCTCAGTTGTGCAACGCGGCCTCCCACTTATTTTTCCACTCTGGTTATAGCCTGTTTGTGCTGTCCTCTGAAGGGAGTAGTACACACCGTTGTAGGAAATCTTCAATTTATTAGCAATTTCTCGCATGGAAAAGCCTTAATATCTAAGAACAAGAATAGACTGTCGAGTTTCAGATGAAAGTTCTCTTTTTCTGGCCATTTTGAGTGTTTAATTGACACAACAAATGTGATGCTCCAGAAACTCAATCTGCTCAAAGGAAGGTCAGTTTTATAGCTTCTGTAACGAGCTAAACTGTTTTCAGATGTGTGAGCATGATTGCACAAGGGTTTTCTAATCATCAATTAGCCTTCTGAGCCAATTAGCAAACACATTGTACCATTAGAACCCTGAAGTGATAGTTGCTGGAAATGAGCCTCTATACACCTATGGAGATATTGCACCAAAAACTAGACATTTGCAGCTAGAATAGTCATTTACCACATTAGCAATGTATAGAGTGTATTTCTTTAAAGTTAAGACTAGTTTAAAGTTATCTTCATTGAAAAGTACAGTGCTTTTCCTTCAAAAATAAGGACATTCAATGTGACCCCAAACTTTTGAACGGTAGTGTATTTATACTATTTTTATATGTATAACCTCTTTCCAAGCGTAAAACAAAGTAGTATTTAATGGTGTAGTGCATAAAATAGGGACAAAAGATTCTCAATTTTTTTTACAACAATAATCTGAAAAGTGTGGCCTGATTGCATTCAACCTTCTTTTCTTCAGAGAACTTTAAAGGTAGAGTGGAAGATGTTCTTTTTCCTGGTGGATCATCAAAATAAGTGGTTCTCCTAATTGTCAGTCATTCTGGTGATATGTTAATGTAAGGCCATCCTATGTGCTCGTCCCTATTTTTTACTTAGCGGAGGTGAGTGTGACATAGTGGAAAATTGCAAATCTTCTTTTGGAAAGAAAGCTTGTATGAGCGATGCAAACAGCAACTTTTAAACAGAGCCAGCATGAGGAGAAATGGGCTTGTGCATGCTCTTGCAGGCATTTAATAGGCGTTCCCTCTCAGGAGCGGGTACAGGGTTTTGCATTTGCATTTTTTTTTAAGTGGAGAGGGCAGGTCTTTGCAAAACTTCTTTAAAAACCTCAACTATACCTTTAATTGCATCAAGTGCAGCATAAATGTTAATCCATAATGTAAAACTATTCCACACATAGTATAATTTAACATATAAAAAATAAACAGCAGATCCATTCATGGTTGATATTAAAAAAAGCATACCGGTAACTTCATGGGAAAATATGCTTTGCGGAGATAATACTAAAATAGTGTCAACAGACATGACAACAACCAGTATTTAAATTTCTTTTTTACTCATGAAATTCAAAAAATGTGACAAATATATGCATTGATCTCCGCTGAGTTATTACTTTGTGGAGCCTTTGGTTACAGTCTCAGCAGCAAGAGGTTTTGAATGAGGCTCTAACAGATGTTCACATCTACAGACAGATTTTCTGAGCTAAATAGTTGCAACTCAGTCAGATTGGAGGAGTATTGCCTTAGCATCATTTTTTTTCTTTTTGTTTTTTGCTGCATGGCTCTTTTAAAGGATTAGTTTGTTCCTAAGAAAGGACACACTAATAATAAAATGGTAACAAATCTTACTTAACAGAGACCATTTTTTTTCAGGGGTACAAATAAAAAGAATAAAACTAAAAAATCTGGGCAAAAGTATAAAATTTAATATATAAAGTGATTTTGTGGAGCAACTGGCCTATCTCAGTACCTCTGAAGCTAAAAATGCTTCGCCTTCATTTTAAATCCCTTGTTTGATCGTTCATTTGAGAGTTTATCATAATAACCTGCTCAAATGAAGGGAAAATAAATCTATTTTAAGATTTTTATTTTTTTCATTTGATATCAGTATTTGAAGTGTTGATAGTGAATACATTTATTATATATTATCATATATGTGACTCACTTAATACACTGAAGGATTCAATGATTGCTCTGTTCCTTTATTTCTCTCTGTGTTTATTGTTTTGTTCTCTGACCACATGAAAAAACACTGACCCCATCCTGACCTCTCTTTGCAAATTGTGTCTAGAAGTGCCACTACCCAGAGCAGGAATTAGGACCAATTCTATAGGGGCATTGGCCCCTGTTGTATGGGGTTCCATTACTACAAAAATATGTTTATGTGTGTACGTATATGTTTTATGTATGTATTATAATCTTATGTCTAAGTAAGGTTTATATGTTAGGTGCTTATCTATTATGTGCATATTTTATTCAACAAGATAAGCTAGCCTATCTTTAGTTAGTGCATATTTTTTTTTGCTGTACATTTCAAGTTCCATCAGGCTGAATGTTAGATGTATGTCTGTGCACAGTCATCTTGAAAGATATTAATTCATATTCCAGTGTCGACTAAGGAGTAGCCCCTAAAGGAGATTTGCAGAGGGGTTCTGATCAATTCCTTTGAGATCTTAGAATATAAAATATACACCTTACATAGACATCAGCACATAACATATACACCTAATATAAGCACTTAACCCTTTATAGGGCCCGTTACAGTATTTGATCACTTGCATACCTCTCACAAATGGGTCCCCATCAATATCCAGCACGCCATTCAGCAAAGATCCTGCTACATAGCTGTACATCTTATTTTGGCATTGGACCAATTAGACGAGCCCTTGAATGATATATTGCCTACAGTAAATTAAGTTTAAAAAAGGTAAGAAAAAAGGGTAAAAAGCTAATTGAAAAGATAAAAAGTAAAGTTTAAAGTTAATAAGCCTAGTTAACAATTATATATAGATTTATAAACTAAAAAATTTAAGTGCCAGTATCAACATTAATGCCTCTAAGGTTATGTCGTATCCAAAAAAAATGTGTTTCTTTCACTCTCAGAGTGTTTTTGATGAATTTCTTATAGAAGCACTTTTGTTATTTTTCTTAATATAGTCAAGCAAGTTGGCGTTTCCTGTTATTTCACTGACATTAACTTTTGCCATCATAATATCCATATTTTTTAATATTACAAAGGCAATATGGTCTTGTCCTGGATTCCAATAACACTATTGGCTTGAAATTTTGATTTTTAAAGTATTTCATTGAGTGCACTATAAAACATACATAAATATGTGTGTATACAACATACTTGAACATAAGTGCATTACTTATAAACAAAAAATAGACGCATAATTAGATTTCTGGCATTAATGGGGACCATGATGTTGGCCTCTGTCTAGAACTGTCCATGAAAGGTGCAAAAAAAAAAAACAACAGAATTAAATATCTAACACAACAAATAAAAAACACAACTCTGTTTATGTTTTAGATTTTCTGACGAATATTATGAATTCTATGAAGTAGAAAAGCATATTTGAGGAGCTTTAGAAGGTGTTTTGCAGTAATTATCTGCTATTTTCCGAGGATAGCTCTTTCTGATTGGCTGGTTGGGAAAATGACGTCAGCTCCTCTTCTCCAGGCACAGAAAAAAAATCTCATTCGCTCTCAGAGCGAGCGACCCTGCTGCTCAGGACGGTCACTGCCTGAACTCATGAAAGAAACCGGCTAACGGATAGTTTTAAAGTCGGGCTCGTGTGTCCGTGTTTGTTTGTTTTTTTTCACTCTGAGAGTGTTTTGTTAGACATTTCCATTCTGGTGCCGAGAAAACGCGAATTGCTTTGGGATCGACTCTCATCTCGAAGTTCCCAAAATGAACTTCGATCCGGTGGTCGGAAAACTTTTTGTAAGTAAACCAACATAAACATTTACTAAACAGTTGAAAAAAAAAGTTTTAAATGTTTATTATTTTTTATTTGTACTAAAGATAGAGTCCGTGTAATAGTGAAGTAACTCCTATAAAGTGTGAAGACTGTCTTTAATCAGCGAGTAATGGCGAATTAGCCTTCAGTTAAATCAGCGCTGTTAAATTTTAAGGGTCTTTCGGAGGCTGAAATCACGACCAGGCCTGTGAACTTGTGAGAAGATAAGACAAGCCCCTTCATTGTCCCACCAGAGCTCATACACAGGAAGCAACGCTGTTTGTTGTTGCTGTGGATTTAGGTGTTTATTTCTGTACATATTGAATCATTTTCCCTCTCCCTGCCTCTCTTGCTGCTGGCTCCATTCCTCTGGACAGGACATGTGCTGCATCATTCAACCTCCCTAAATCCAACATAGCAGCCACCATCTGTGTTGGTGATCATGTGGTCAGATTGGACAGACATGCCCCACATGATGGCCATGGGCAGAGCCGGTCCAAGGTGCTACAGGGTCCAAAGCAGGGTTTGATTAGAGGGGCCTCATTTTAATGGACATAGGGACCATAGGGACATGTCCCTACTAAAATCCTGGCCTGACCTACTTGTCCCTACCTTTGTGAATAACAAGTTTATAGTTTCCAATACAGCGTTTTTGCTAGAGTCGCTTCTTTTCTCACTACTCGTATATTGAAGTTAATATTTTAAATGCTCACTGTCAGTTCCTCTCATAGTTCCCGCGGCCATGTAAATACAATAAATCTATTTGCAGTCCCTTGAATACATTATTTTTGCTTTGTTTTACGATCCAGACAATATCAGCATATCAGATAAAAGAAATAAGAGTGCACAATTCTATTTCTTCAAAAGTAAACACCTGATAAATACATATATAACAGACATATTTAGACTATATTTGGTTAAAAAGGCATGTATTTACCTTCCGTCTTAAATGGTAAGTTCTAATGTAACCCTTTTCAAAGTGTAATGTTGTCCCAATTTTACATTATTCTGAGCCACTGATGCTTCAAACATTGATAAACAGCATCTTGTGTGTGTAGTGCTTATAAAATTTGTATAATTGTAGCAAAAAATGCTGTTTTCTCTTTAAACGAAATGCAAACTGATGCTCACTTCAAGCTTTAAAAAAAAAAAAAAATAGGAGCATGCATAATCAATGACATTAGACCAATTCAACTTAAGACCAGTAGTGTCCCAACCAAAGTTGAGATCAAACCTACGCCCTTGCTCATTTTTTATTGAAAGGATTATTTCTTACCGGCAGTATAATCCTTCTGAGGTCCTGTTCAGTATAAATCCACATCAGTTGGTCAAGGAAGGAAACCACTAGTATGAGTTAAAGAAAGATGCAGCAGATTTCCTCCAGTCTTAAGATAACAGCAATCTGAAAAATCCAATCATGGTAAACCTGTTTTATAAACATTCACAATTGTTTTGATGTGCAGTGGGTCAGTATTTGATGAGAAACTAGTGATTATTTTTGATATCCTTGCTATAAATGGAACATGGAGGGTAAAAAGATTTGAACACTTTAATATAAAAGTAAGACCGTGTAAATATATATATTATTTTATTTAAAAAAAAACAACTTAATTTTCTACTAGGCAGTTATTTTTAAATAACTGGTCCCACAGTGTTGGATTATTGTTGCTGCAATTTTCCTACAATAGATCATATATCGTTAGCAGTGAATCAATTAATTGAAATAATCCTGTTTAACCAATTTAAATAGTTTTCAACTCACAGGGAAAAAAAGGCAACCGTTTTTTTGCACTTACTTAATCATATTTAATTACTTTAACAGAATTGTTTCATGTTAGCAGGGTAGGACATAAAACAATTGTGTTAAAGTAACTAAATAGGATTAAGTAAATGCCAAAAACGATTGCAGTAATCAAATTTATCAAGTGTATGACTGGTTCAAGTTTAACTGGTCTTGAACTTGAGTTTTTTTAATCTGTTTTATTCATTTACAATGCATTATAAATGTGTAATTAATGTTTAAGTTCACACACTTTTTTTATTGAGTTATTTTAATTTGCCAGGAGTGTCTCTTTTTTTAGATTGAGAGATTAGTGTAAGTGCAAAACAACATTTTAAGGTTCATAAAATGGTATTTGGATAAACCTGCATTACAGTGTTGTTGTTTTTTCTACTGTAGTTGTCATATATGGGTTTATTCTAGAGTTATCTACTGCAAGTAAGATATTAACTTCTTTTTACATCACTAGATTTCATAGATTGTAAACCATCCATTTAAGCTCCTGATAAAAACAGAAATGCTATTTTGAGGGAGGTTGTTTGTTTGTTTAAGCTTGTTTGCATTTTTATACAACTACAAGAGAAAACGAAAATATGCAATGAACTTTGCTTGACATAAGTGACTTAACAATGTTTATATCAGGTTAAAAAACTTAAATTTTTTGACTTTTTCCAAATAGTTTGGAAATCATATTAAATGTAAAATGCTGACTTTGTACAGTCTGCATTGATGGGTGCAAAATGTAACTAAAAAGGATCTTTAGAAATGTGCCACTTGTTACTGAGATGTATTTGCAATTAAGCTTTTCATAAGAGGTGTATACGGCAAGGACTGAAATAGACAAAAAAAAGGATTAGATGCATTAAGTTTGAATCTATATTTTCCTCTGTATGTGTTTGAAAATCCTACTTTAATCCTTTCGTTTATATCCTACAACAAATCTAAAGTTTTAATTAAAGACCATTTTGGATTTTTTTTTGCGATTAACTGATCATTAAAATAATCATCAACTTATTTAGTAATCAATTAATCACTAATTGAAGAATACATAACACTTGCTGATGAAACTACAACCAATGTAGAGATGTAATAAAGGAAGTATTAGGGATGAAAACCTTCTTGTCGGTAAATATTCCCCATCCAGAATTCCACTGGTCGGATAGTTTAGCTTCAACTGGTTCAAAACTGGGTGAAAAAACTATTTTCTAAAAAAAAAAAAAAATTAGTGAAATAATCGTCAAGTAATTTAATGATCGGTTAACTGGAGTATAGAGACTCAAAAAGATGCATTTAGTTGACATAGCAACCAACTCAGAGCAGTAATAATAGCAAAATGTCAATATATGTATGTTTTTATATATATATATATATATATATATATATATATATAT